TCCAGCCTTCTCCTTGGTTCTATAATCTAGCCAATTTCCTTTCAATAGTGTATTTTTTCCTGAAGTCATATGAAGTTGGACTATGTTGTTCATAACTGATACCACAGGTGACAGAAGTCGGGATATGGGAGAAGTGCAGGACAGGTGAAGTACTAATTTCTTCCTCCTACATAGTTGGGACTCTGCGGATACTGTCATAAGGCATGGTTCAAAAAAGCAGGGTAGAAAATATATTACTTACAATTGTAAAAGTAATGACTGATAGAATGATAAAATAAAACTAATCAAATTTAGGAGAGGAAAATGGATTAGGGGTAAAATGAGATAGTCCCCAAACCTGATGAATGGGACTCAAAGGCTACAGTTTAAAGCTGATAAGACAAGTAAGAGAACCAAAATCTTACTATTTAGAGTCATAAAAAATAACCAATAAAATAACTAACACAAGTGATAAGATACAATTATATCCAGTCTGTGGGACTAATAATGGAAGGTGGGAGGGAAAAACATTGCTATTCATTTTCTATCTTTCTGTCCTTTTCAAATCATTTCTAGCCATGCTCATATATCACATTTTTAACACTTCACATCTCTTGGCTACACCACCACAGAGCATATCACATAATTAAATGTAAGGCCATTAATATCTACAAACACACACACACACACACACACACACACACACGCATACACACGGATCCAGCTGCAACTCTAAGAATGCAAATTACAAAAGATTCAATTACATAAGAATCAATTCAAGAGTATATATTTGCCTTCAGATTTGTTTTCTTTGCTAAAACACAAAGCAGTCTCATACCCATCGTAAGGTAAATTGTGTACAGAAAAAGAAGGAAATCAAATCCCAAAAGGTGATGTGGAAAATGCAATAATTTTTTCTGCCTTATTAAGGAATGATTGACAAAAAGGGTATATATCTACAGTACATAACGTGTTTTGACATATCTATACACTGTGAAATGATTACCACAATCAAGTTAACATATCCACCACCTCACAATTATCTTTGTTGTTGTTAGCGAAAACATTTAGCATCTACTCTCTCGCAAATTTCAAGTATATAATATGGTTCTATTAACTATAGTCACTATGCTGTACATTAGATCTTCAGAGCTTATTCATTCTGCCTAACAGAAACTGTACCCTTTGATAAACATCTCCTCATTTCCCCCATGCTCCCAGCCCCTGGCAACCACCATCCTACTCTGTGCTTCTGTGAGTTTGGCTTTTCGAAATTCCACACATCTGTGGGATCTTACAGTATTTGTCTTTCTGTATGTGGCTTTTTTCAGTTAGCATAATGGTCCTCCAGGTTCATCCACATTTTTTCAAATGACAGGATTTCCTTCTTTTTTAAAGCCGAATAATATTCCATTTTGTGTGTGTATATACATATATACACATACATAAGTACACCACATTTTCTTTATCTGTTCAAATGTTAAAATGTGATATTTGAGCATGGCTAAAAACCATTTGAACAGTACAGAAAAGTAGAAATGAAACAGATACACATACATGTATACACGATATTTTCCTCATCTGTTCATTTGTTGATGGACACTTAGGTTGATTCCATACCTTGTCACTAAGAAAAGCAGGTCATAAACTTTGATCTGTTGTGATTTTAGATCTTAGATCCCATCAATACCAAATTTGAAAGATTACTTGCTTATTGCCTGTGTGTAAAAATACTCATAAACTTGAGGGAAGTTCCACAGGCTAATCCTAGTTTGAAGTCTTATAAGTATGAACAATGAGATACTTAGGATTTACTGGAAAGAGCACAAGACTCGGAGTCAAAAGATTTGGGTCTGCCCCATCTGCATTATTTACAAGTTCATGATCTTGGGCAAATCATCACTCCAGCCTGAGTTTTGTCACCTGTGATTTGGGGATAAAATTGCTAACTGCATAGGGTTGCTATTAAAATCAAATGAGATAGTGGACTATATATGAAATTGTCTGGTAAAATGTAAAGCCCAATACAAATGTTAAATACTATTGTCACTATTACAACAACTGGTCACAAAGGACATCTGTAAAAAAAGTAGAAATGGCATAATGAAAATTCATCCTAATAAAAAAATATAACCAAGCAGAAGCACCTTTCTTTTTAAAAGGAATGAATATGATCCTTCCCAGGACACAAAATATGGTACTTGACCTCACACAGTTCACAGTGGCAGTGGAATCAGTCTCCCACTGTGTGATGACTGATATCCACACGTGCCCAGCATGTACCTCGATTCTCAGCTTCAGGTAAGAAAAAGTTTGTTTGAGAGAATATATTAATGAATAGATTTTCACTTCCTTGATCATAGGAAGTGAGCAAAAAAGTTTAAGAACATCAAGTGTTGTTCTTTGGATTTCAGATCCCCTGGAACTGAAACAAAGAAGGCTAGAAAGAAGGTAGAGAAAGAGGGGCGTAGAAGAGTCTGTAGAAAGAGGCATGGGGTTCCAAGGAGGGAAGGACAAAGCTAGCTCGTTAGGAAAGTAGTATGTTGTAAAGGAAAGAGCCCTGGACCAGGAGTCAAGAAACAGCTCTGGTCCCAGCACTGCCACAGGCTCTCTATGAAACCCTGGGCAGGCCACCGCCCCTCTCTGGGCCTCAGTTTCTTTACCGATAATACAAAGGAGGCATCATAAAACCAGTTAGAGCAGCTACTCAATCATTTACAAAATATTTGTTAAGTGTTTATTATGCGATAGGCAGTGTTCTAGTCACAGAGACATGGGAGAAAACAAAAACAGACATGGTTCCTGCTGCCATGGATGTGGCATTCTAAATGATCTCGCTCCAACTCAAAGACCCGGCACACTAGAACTGACTGTAGGCTGTGGTGAGGCCACAGTAGACAGGCACAATGGCTGAATGACTGAAGAGCAGACAGCATGACCTCTTCAAAAGTAGTCTATTTTTTTTTAAGCAGAAGCAAGTGCTCCTCACCCTCATGTTGCCCCACTCCAGGTCCTGGGCCTTGGAGCTTAATACAGATCATGGCATCCAACAGACTTTTATTCTGAAAGCCAAGGTTAGGGCTCAAAGAAACTTCCAGAAATATAAAGATGTTTTGTTTTGTTTTTCAGTTAGATAATTAGACTCATTACAGCAGAGAAATGGGGACATTATTTGATACTTTTTAAAAAGCATATCTAAAATGACTAACATTAATGTACAGGTGAAATTTCATAAAAATTAATGATCACTATAATTGTTCCTAATCTCTGTTTTCTATACTAGGAAAAACACAATTTATATATGAATTATTTGCTGCATGTAGACAGAATTGTTCCTAATCTCTGTTTTCTATACTAGGAAAAACAAAATTTATATATGAATTATTTGCTACATGTAGACAGAATTGTTCCTAATCTCTGTTTTCTATAATAGGAAAAACACCATTTATATATGAATTATTTGCTATACGTAGAGAGAATATAATACCTCTTTTACCAAGCATGAAGCCCTAGCCTTGATTTCTGTGGTACATTAAAAAAATATACTTTGCATTGCCAAAAGAGAAATAGTATTGAGTTTTGATCTGTATTTTCTGTTGCTCATTCATTAAATTGGTGTAAAAGAAGGAAAATCTTAAAAGACATGGAAGGCAGCTCCCTTACAGACAGCTATCAAAAGAGCATCCCAAGAGTGCCCTGACCACACTTTTCTTCCTAGATCATGGGCCCCAGCATCTCCGAGCACACACTGTCTTCCACAGGATCTTCTGACAAGTCTGCTTCACCCTAGGAATCCCCATGATCAACATGAGAGAATGAAGAGAAGGATAGGCCGCCATGAGTGTCTCCCAGATGAAGACACTGGTGAGATCAGGAGGATAAGTCTTGGAGGTGATGGAGAAGGGGCTGGCCACGATATAAACCAGGTGAAGTAAGAGGAAGCAGCCCAAGGACTTCAGGGCAGTGATGTGAGCCTTGGCCCGGGCATCCCTCCTGCCAGCTGAATGGACCTTCATCTTCTTGTGGTGTGTATACAAAGAGATAATCAGCATCCCAGAGGAAACAAGAAACACCATTAAAGGCAAATAACTTCCAGAATTGAGCTGAAATACATACAGGTACTGCCAGTGTTCAAAGGGATAACGAATGCTGCTGTTTCCTTGGGGAGGATGATGGACCATTAAGCCAACTTGGACTGTAAGTAACAAACTGATTATAAAGTAGCCCAGAAGGCACCACAGACTCAGGTTATAGGCCCTCTGCTTCAGCCACAAGTAGGCAGGGCGATCAAAGGTGGTGATCTTCTTGCAATAGAAGACACTGAGGAAGGTGGCAAACCACAAGCTGGCCTGGCTTACCAGGACCCAGAAGACATTAAGATAGCGAAGCCAACGGCTGCTCTGGAAAAGGGGAAACAAGCTTAAGTCCAAAATGATCAGCCACTGCAGGAGAAACCGGCAGCCAGCCAGGCCCAGGATAATGAGGTTATATGAGGACCAGCTGAATTTTCTGATCCATTCTCTTAAACTCCAGACCACAAGGATTCCATTTCCAATTAAACCGATGAGAAATTCAATCACGGCCACCAGCATCAGCAGTCCTAGGCCAGCACTCAGCATGAAGGGGGAGGGGAGGCTCTCACTGCTCCTGGCTGAGCTCAGATCCCCTAGCAGCAATAACACACCAGGGTAAATTGCACACCACAGAATCTGGATTTGGCCTTATCCCTCTGTAATCTGTCTTCAAGCAAGACTGAACAGCTGTGACGAGGAACAGAGAGGTTGAAAGTTATGACACGCTCTGTATTTGCATCTACATGAATGAACTCTGGGTGTAGACCCAGAGATTGCCAACAGTACCAGAGACACTGGCTCTCCATCTCAAAGGTCGTGGGCCAAAGTCTAGACACCAGGATATAATGTAGCAAGGCCCCTCAACAAGAAAGATCAAATCAAAACATGCTTAGGTGCTATATAGTGCCAGTTATGAGCTCATATGCTATATATAAAAAAAGAAATTTTATTTTCATAAAAACAACATTGGGCCGGGCATGGTGGCTCACACCTGTACTCCCAACACTTTGGGAGGCCAAGGCGGGTGGATCACCTGAGGCCAGGAGTTTGAGACCAGCCTGGCCAACTCGGTGAAACCCCATCTCTACTAAAAATATAAAAATTATCCAGGCGTGGTGGTGGCTGCCTGTAGTCCCAGCTACTCGGGAGGCTGAGGCAGGAGAATCACTTGAACCCAGGAGATGGAAACTGCAGTGAGCCGAGATTGCACCACTGCACTCCAGCCTGGGCAACACAGCAAGACTCCATCTCAAAAAAAAAAAAAAAAGAAAAGAAAAAAGTAAGCATGCTGAGAATTCTCTATGAAGCTGTAGGCAGGAGGCCACTGCCCCTCTCTGGGCCTCAGTTGCTCTACTAATAACTGAATGGATTGTAGGACTAGATTTCCATTCCTTCGGATTAAATTTACAGAGTGCTTATTTTGTGTCAAACTAGTGTACTAGGCACTGGGGATGGTGCCATTGTAATACACAGTCCCTGCCTCCAGGTGGCATTCATCATACATCATCTCCACCCAGCTGCAAGACCTAGCACTCTAAAACTCTGGCTGTAGGCTATGGAGGGGCAGAGAAGGTCACGATCTTCTACTGGCCTAAAAATCTAGATGAGGCTTGAACCTCTCCAAAAGCAGGGTTTCTTTGGCGACTTTCTGATAGAGACATAGTGCCTCTCTCTGCCCACCTGCCCCAATCTAGCCTGGCAGTGGAATTTGCCACAGATCCTGGTAGCCAACTGGCATGTTTCCAGAAAGCTAGTCTGGTGTCAAAAAATCAAAGTATCCAGAAATATAAAGAAAGGTTTTTGACAGACTAGTTTACTACCAGTGTTGAGAGGCTAAACCACATAGAAAATTGAGACAATAATTTAGCTAATTCCACTAAGAAAAGTGCTTGCCTAAAAAATATCCAGCAATTAACATACAGGTTCACCTCTTTTTAAAATACATTAGTTTCAAACTATAGCTATTTTCTACTTCCTTTTATCAAAAACATAGCATATTGGCAAGGAAAATTGGATTATCTGCAGTAATTTTTTAAAATGTGATACTTTCCATGTAAAATATGAAAACTCAGTTTTGACTTCAGTAATTTATTAAAATGATGTGATTTGCATTGCTTATAGAGCAATAAGGTCCAGTTTCTAGCCTGTTTTTCATGTTACCCTTTCATTTTGCTTCAAAATCAAAGAAGAAATGAGAAGAATTGAGAATAAAAATTTTATTTTTCTAAAATCTAGTTATTTCTACTGTTGTCAATGATACAGTTAAGGACCTGATTAGATCCTTCTCCCAAGCCATGGCCTCTAGGATTTCCAAACACATCTCATCTCCTACAGAATTCTCTGACAAGTCTGATTCCTCATAACCATTACAACAGAGGAAAGTGAAGTATAGACAGCCATGAGCTTTGCAGAGATGGCAAGAATGGTGAGATCAGAAGGAGATTAGAAGGTTATGGGAAAGTGGCTGGCCAAGGCAGAAACCATGTAAAAGGGGAAGTTTAGAGCAATGAGCACCTTGGCTCGAGCCTCCTCCTGGCAGCTGTGTGGTCCTCCATCTTCCTGTGATGTCTATACAAAAAGACAAGTGGAGCAGAAACATCACAAATAGCAACCAGTTTCCTGCACTGGACTGCAATCTATAAAAATAACAGATTTAAAATGGGTTGCAGGATGTTGCTGTTTCCTGTTAATGGTTTTTAAAGCATCCAGCCAACAGAAGCTGAGAAATAAAAAGTGATCTTGAAAGACACTAGCAAAAACCAAAAACCCAGCCTTTTCAGCTACAAGAAGTCAGCGGGGCAAAGGTCATGATCTCCATGCAGCAGAAGCCATTGAAGAAAGTGGCAAACTGCATGTTGGCCTGGCTTACCAGGACTCAGAAGACATGAAGATAATAAAGCCAACCACTGCTCTGGGAAAGTGGAAACAGACTTACGTCCAACATGATCAGCCTGAGTAGGAGAAAGTGGCTACTTACCAGAATCATGAGGATTTATAGGAACTTCTTACATTTTTTTTTTTTTTGACCCATTCTCTAAAACTCCAGACATAGGGACTCCATTTCCAACCAGGCCAATGAGAAATTCAGCCACTGCAATGGGCATCAGCAATCCTAGGGCAGCAGCCAACGTGGCTGGGGAGGGGAGGGTCTCAGTGCTGAATCAGGAGATGCCCTGCTTTAGTGCTGATTAACATGTACTGCTCCTGGCTGTGTCAGAATCCCTGAGGATGATATTAGTATCATGGCAGAGCATTTCACTTCTTACAACTCAGATTTTGTTACTGTCTGAAATCCCTTCTCTGGTAAAGATGTTACAACTGTGAACAGAAGAAACGTTCTTGAAGGTAACAATCCCTCCTTCACTTACATCTACCTGACACTGGCCTGAGATCTGAGATTAGGTACAGAGACACAATTACAGAATGCCTTCCGAAGGAAAGAACTAAACTCCAGACAGCCTAGAGCACAGTCTCCTGAAATCCTACTTCCACCCGACCTAACTCCACAAAACCTAAGTAAGACATTCTGAGAATTTAAACAGTGGCAAATGCAAGGCAACTCATGTTACATAAAGGGAAAGCATGGGCCGGGCGCAGTGGCTCACACCTGTAATCCCAGCACTTTGGGAGGCCAAGGCAAGTGGATCACTTGGGGTTAGGAATTCGAGACCATCCTGGCCAACATGGTAAAACCCCGTCTCTACTAAAAATACAAAACTTAGCTGGGCGTGGTGGCACAGGCCTGTAGTCCCAGCTACTCAGGAGGCTGAGGCAGGAGAATTGCCTGAACCCGGGAGGTGGAGATTGCAGTGAGCCGAGATCGCACCATTGCACTCCAGCCTGGGCGACAGAGCGAGACTCCATCTCAAAA